GCTATATTATATCGAATATAATACTATATTAAGATGTATATATATATATCGAATAAGTATTAAATATTATTTATTTAAAAGCTCTTTATTATTTACACACACAAATATTATTAAATATATATTTTAATTTGTATAAAAGCATTTTTCCGACCGAATTTGGTCGGAAATATTGAATTATAATCATTTCGGCTGGTTAATTAAATATATATAATTTTTGTCTTGGGCGGGAAACAAAAAATTCAAACTTTCCGATCGAAATCGGTCGGAAATTCTGAATTTTTTTAATATATAATTATTTTTGTACATTATATACAAGTATGACCAAATATTTGACCAATTTTCGACCGAAATCGGTCGGAAATTTGGAAAAATTTTAATAAATAATTATTTTTATACATTATATACAAGTATGACCAAATATTTGACCAATTTTCGACCGAAATCGGTCGGAAATTTGGAAAAATTTTAATAAATAATTATTTTTATACATTATATACAAGTATGACCAAATATTTGACCAATTTTCGACCGAAATCGGTCGGAAATTTGGAAAAATTTTAATAAATAATTATTTTTATACATTATATACAAGTATGACCAAATATTTGACCAATTTTCGACCGAAATCGGTCGGAAATTTGGAAAAATTTTAATAAATAATTATTTTTATACATTATATACAAGTATGACCAAATATTTGACCAATTTCCGACCGAAATCGGTCGGAATATTATTTCTTTTGCTGTCAGAAAATTTTTGTTGACTTTTGTGACCAAATACTCTTATTTTCGATCGATTTCGGTCGGAAAGCTTTGGACGGAAATCATCTGATTTTTAGTAGTGTGCGTGGGAGATGCTTTAATTTGGCTACTTATGGAAAAGATATGACATATCAGCATACTCAAGATGTAGTGCATTTTGTAAATCCTCCCATGTTTACTTTACTGTGTTTTAATCTAGACCTATTAGGGACCGTAACTTTTAGTTCAGTACCTTCTACTGTAATAGTTTAGTTTCTGTTTATAACAGGTTTTCCTTGGCAGAAATAAAATAAAATAAATTTTAATGAATAAATTAGAGTATCTGTTAAGTATCAAAATTATATTTAAAAAAATATTCATGTGGTTTAACTATAAAAAAATAAAATTAATTTAAAGTTTGGTCAAAATTATAATAAAGTTAAGCATATACAATATATTAGAGAGAGGTCACAATAGGGGGGGAAGTCCTAATTAGTAGAAACATTTTTCCTTTTACAATCACTTTCGCAATGTAATAATTAATCAATATATTAAAATAATTCATTTAAGAGAATTGAAATTTATCAATGATCACAAAGTACACAAGACAAGAATTTGGAAGCAAAGGATTTGAATTTTGTTGAAGCTCTCTCATCATAATCACCTGGTAATTCTGTTGGTACACAAATGGTAGAGTCATCAGCACCACTTAGTTTAACTTTCTCACATTCATCCAAGAATTTATTAAATGCCTTGTCAACATACTCAGCTGCCTCAGCAACAGTCATGTCTTCCACAAGCTTGTGGGGATAAGAGTCCTTTAAATGGTCTCCACATAAAACTGCAGCCATTTGTACCATTTCTGTTTGATAGTCAGTTAGCTTTGCATCTTCTTTGGCTTCTGCTTCTCGCAATCTCACTGGTTCTGGCAAAGTTTCTGCAGTAATTAATAGGCAGTAATATTAATTTGATGAATGCAATAATCTCGTTGTTTAATTGCTCTTATATAGGTAGATACATTCACTGATCAGAGTTATGTGAAACAACATAACAACTACTCAATTTCAAGCAAGTTGGAGTCTGAAAGAAATATAGGAAAAAGAACGTCTTATAATCATAGAACTCTAAATGTAAAATGGTGTTTATGTTATGTGTTAGATATTCATAATTTCAGGTTCATTGTAACAAGGACAGATTATGTTCATCAGTAGAATTAAAAATAAATAAGTGAAAGATTATTACCGGGGCAATCTGTTCTTGGAGTTGTTCTATTTATGACTGTCTCAAAGGTTCCAGCCCATGCATCACGCTTAGTGAGAAACTCACTCAAGTTGAAAATCTTCTTAACAGTTGCAGGAATTGAAGAATGCTCAAATTCAGAAGTAGCGTATGGTCCTGATGGCTTGTGTAACACTTGACATATATATATATACACGCATAGTTAATCACATGACACGAAATCACAAATTTCGACATATATATGAATTGAAGACAGTACTATTAAACTAATATAATTTATATATTGAAGAACTTAGTACCCGTTCCACGTTCGATCCACGGTGAAATCAAGATGGCCGGAACCCTAACACCTAGGCGATTAAACTGAAATTTATAAGGTTCAGGACCATTTATTCCATCAGGGCTAGGAACGCCGGTGACCGGAGTCGGAACATGGTCAAAGAAACCACCATGTTCGTCATATATTATAATGAACAATATTTCATTCCATTGAGGGCTTGATCTCAATGCCTCGTAGACTTGTTTCACAAATTTTTGGCCTTCAAATACATCATGAGAAGGGTGATCATCATTTCCAGGCAAGATTTTTAAGTCAAAGTATCTTTGCTCAATTACAACATAATTTGGTAACTTTCCCTCTTTGCAGTGGTTCTTGAAATGAAGATCGAATTGATGGAAGTTCTTTATGTATTTCAGTTTCCTAAGATTCCTGCAAAAATCAAAATGAAAATTAAAGAAATGCCTAAAGGGTTTATGAGATCAAATTTACTATGACATGCTAGTGGATCTGCGTTTTCCTCTAAAGAGGGTAATTAATTCTCAAAATGAATGTTATAAATGAATTAAAGTAAAACTATCAACTCAAGACTTAATAATTAAGGTAAGAGTTTTGATATAACTTTATCCTTCAACAAAAATTATACTTGAGAACTAAAATAATATGTGGTCTTTATTGTTTGACCCGGTCAACGACGATAAAGCCTTTGAAGGCTGTGACATGTCAACCTAACTACAAAGGGTCGAGGTCAGGTGCGGAGGATAAATTATTGTTTTAATGACCCGGCCGGTCGTTTTGAGTATTACAGCTCCGTTCCCCTATTTACTGCTCTATTTCTGCTTTACAGTTGTTATGTGACTTGTCGGGGTAATTGGTTCGGGTCCGGAGAGGTTTTGGAATGAATTGGAGCACTTAGTTCCAAGGTTTAAAACTTAAGTTGAAATAGTTTACCGGAGGTTGACTCATATGTAAACGATTTGATGATTCCAATAGCTCCGTATGGTAATTTTGGACTTAGGAGCGAGTCCGAAAAATTATTTGGAAATCCGTAGTTAAATTAGGTTTGAAATGGCTAAAACATAAATTTAAGCTAGGAAGTTTGACCGGGGAGTTGACTTTCTGATATCGGGGTCGAAATCCAATTCTGAAAATTGGAATAGGTCTGTTATGTCATTTATGACTTGTGTACAAAATTTAAGGTCAATCGGACTTGAATTGATAGGTTTCGGCATTGAATGTAAAAGTTGGAATTTCGTAGTTTCATTAGCTTGAATTGGGGTATAATTCGTATTTTTAGCGTTGTATGATGTTTTGGAACTTGTTGGTATGTTTGGTTGAGGTCCCGAAAGTCTCGGGTGAGTTTCGAATGGTTAACGGATCAAATTCGGACTTAGAAGAAATCTGGAAATTTTTGCCTTCTCGTGCAATCGCACTTGCAGAATTTGGCTCGCTGGTGCGAGCTCGCAAAAGCGAGATGGGCATCGTAGATGCGTGAGGTCCGCAGAAGCGACTTCAATGTCGCAGAAGCGGAGGCAAGGGGAGCTGGGCAAGACCGCAGAAGCGGACAGCTTCTTCGCAGAAGCAGAAGCGAGTCCGCAGAAGCGAAGCAGGCACAGGAGCAACAGCATGACAGCAAAAGTGGGACAGCAGATGCGGTTAGTTTTTCACAGAAGCGGAACCCCTGGACAGATTACAAAACAGAGGGGTTCTGACATTTTTGTCATTTTGGACATTTTCAACACGGGTTTGGGCAATTTTTCAGAGAGAATTCACGGGAAAACTTGAGGTAAGTCACCTGTGATCATTGTTAGTCAATAATATTTGATTATCATTGAGTATTTTGACTAGAGTTTTGTAGCATATGTACTCATATAAATATGAAGATAGATGAGAAAGGGCATTAGACCTTTTGTAAAGAATATCTTCAATATTCTTCTGTACAATATTCTCACTTTATTGAATAGAAACAAAGCTTGACTTTACACTTTCTTTCTTTTACCCATCTCTCCCCGATCCAACAAGAATCGAAATATATAATTGTATGTTATCATACATCATTATAAGAAAGCATATCTGAAGATTTTATCCTTGTCGGGTGATCTTTGACTCATTTACTATTAGAAGCCATTTACTATCATTTATTGCTCAACTTTACACTCATAAGTAGGGGTGTACAAAGAAAATCGATAAACCGCACTAAATCGATAATACGAGTCAAATCGAAAAAATAAACGATTGTAGTTTGGTTTGATTTGAAAAATAAAATCCGACCATAATTGGTTTGGTTTGGTTTTAACTAAAAAAAGTCAAACTGAAACCAAACTAACCCGATTGTATATTTATACAATTTTTAAAAATATTTTATACATATAAATATTTATTGTAATGTAATTTATAAATATTGCTTAAACTTTTTCACATTTTTATCTTTTAACGTATTATTTCAAGTTTGGACTTAACATTCTTGAATGGTAAATAAATTTTATAGCCCATAAATGTGATAAATCAAACAAAGTTCAAATCAATACTAATGCTAACAAAAAAAAATTCAATTCAGCACTAGGAGTGACAATAGTGTTGGATATCTATTTTTTAGTTTTACATAATTGGTTTATAATAAAAATGTATAACTTAGTTTATCTTTTTCTGTAGTGCTTAGTTATATAATTAATAGTACTTATTAGCTATACTTATTTTAGTATGACCTATATAGTATTTTTAGATTATGTTAATTTTTATTATGACTTATTAATTTACAATATTTGCTTTATGCAATTTTATTATCTTTGTTATTGAATATTTTAGTATAATGCTATGACTTATCTCATATTATTGTATTATTTTCTTAGAAAATACATTATATAGTTGTATCTTACTAGGACTAAAGAAATATTTGGAGCACAACAAATTTTGTGCTATGAAGACTTTACCGGGAAACAACCCGAAAACCCGAAAAAAACCGAAAAATCCAAGAAAAACCGAGATTAAAAATCCGACTTTGTTGGTTTGGTTTGATTTATAGATCTAAAAAACTGATACCCTTGGTTTGGTTTGGTAATTAAAAAATTCGAACCAACCCGAACCATGTATACAGTGGAGGAGTCACATTAAATCAAGGGGTGTTGACAGCCCTTCGCCGAAAATTTACACTATATTGCTAGATAAATTTTTTTATTTTATGTATATTTACAATACGTTGACTCCCCTTGACTTTTTGATGTATCTAATTATTTATATTTTGACACCCCTTGATGAAAATTCTGGCTCCGTCACTGCATGTACACCCCTACTCATAAGCCTTTATTGCTCTATTAATACCTCAAGATTGTCTTATTTAATAGCTCATATTAAATATTCACCTTAAAAGCGCTAGATCTATCATTGAATATTGATATTGACTATAATTAACCCTATTTTTTTTATAAATCTAATTGTATAAAAATTAAGATCTAATTTTTGGGTCATATACCTTCCATTATAAGATCTACGCTAAAGTTCTGACGCTTGTTAACATATTCCTCGTCAGGCAACACAGGACTTCTCTTTCTTCTTGTTGTTGTTTTCTGGGAGTAAATATAGTGGACTCCAACTAACATTTTAGTATTATTTATTAGAAATATAATATGAAAAAGATCACAGTGCTTAACTTCTAATGAAATTTCAAGGTATCTCAGTTTAGTTAGAAAATAATAAATTAAACTTATTTTCTTTAGTTTCTAATGTAATTAGCCATCAAAAAAAGGTGCCAAATCATTATAGACGAAGAGAGTAGTTCAAAATCCCCAATAAATATGGAAAGAGAAAATACTTAACACATCTTATATAAGGGTAACCAGTGCACTTAAGTTCTGCAATGCGTTCACAAAAAGAATCGGATTATATATATTAAGTCAATTGTATGCAGCTTTGTCATGGGTTCAGTTTTATAATGTTATTATCTGACTTCATTTATTGAATTTGGTCTTCTACAGATTAAGCTTGTGTTCTCCAAATCAAAACTTACTCTCTTCCTCAACTCTTATGGGAAGAAAAAGATTAATAAACGAAAGGGCCAAAATGGGGTTTATTAAAAAGACACTCTTAAGATGCATATAACAAAATAATCACATCTTATGGGACAAAAAAGAGTTAAACACGAAAGGGCCAAAATGATGTTAAAAAGACATTCTAATATAGGATGCGTATATACAACAAAATGATAACATTTTATGGGCGAAAAATGAGTTAAACACGAAACGGCCTAAATGATGGTAGCGTCATTGCATTTCCGAACTGTACATCTTGACCACTTATATGTAACCACTTAACCAAATAAGTATAAATAATTTATTCTATGAAAAAAAAAAAAAATTCTCAACTACCTGAGAAAGGTTTATATCTGTTTACAATTATGACACACAAATAGAATTATGAGTAGTGTCAAAACATTCACTCAATAGAAATTAAATTCTCAGATTCTTCATTCTTCACTAGCTTTAATTTCATGAGTTGTACAACAGAGCATAACTACATAATCTACAGGCTTCCAGTAGTATTTGTTTTAGTCAGACTGAATACTGGAGTCAAGGCATTAACCCAAGAAGTATCCACCATTAATTAGTGCATTTATTCTTTTATTAATTAAAATGAAGAAATTATCCACTGTCAAAGGCAATAATATACTGGAAAGTGGCTTGAGATACTTGAACACGTCAATTGAAATTGACAGAACTATGGAGAAGAGAAATGAAACACAAAACCATGTAAAAATATGGATTTAACTTATATTTACTATAGCGTAAAGAAACTTTTTTGCAATTTAGTATTTTTTTTTAATTTTTAGTTTATTAATTTCACTTATTATAGACATTTATATATGATCAATTTTTAGTAACATAATAGTGTAAAATATTCTTATATATCATCAGTGTAGAGAAGGTTAGTATTTGAACCCATTCATCACTGCCTCCGACATACCTAAAAATAGCAAATTCAACCTGTATCTGAGTTGTAACATATTTGTTGACTTAATTTTGAATTTAAAATGACCTACTAAACTATAAGGTCAGAATATTATAATATATCCAACGGATCAAATGCAACCCCAGCCTAAACTAAAAATGGAGATTAAGAGTATGTAAATTTGGAAGAACTTAAGGGAGTGATTATTTAAAAAATAAATAAATAATATTTTTTTTCCAAAAAGCAAAACAAAAAAGGGGACGGTTGGGTTCATGTGTTGACATTGAGGTTTGGGGTATGACACATTATTTTGTCATATCTTAACCCAACATATCTTGCATAATCCGTTTTAACTTGCATTATCCCCGTTCAAGTTTGACTCAATTCGCTCATTTGCTACCTCAATGATATATCGTACCCTTGAGATTTCTCTCTGCATTCTGAGCAAATCCTTTCATGGTGGGCTGAAGTTTCTTGCTAGCCAAGTTCTTACTCCATGGAACTCCAAATATTTGCTCATAAACATCTTGGATTGAGTGGCCGGGATCTGGATCTACGTAAAGTGATTGGTTGCCAAAAATAAGAACGTCGGATTTTGCATTGGAGGTTGAGATAGGGTTGGATGATTTTCTTGTTGGACCATTTATATTAGGGTTTAGGGTATTCATCCAACCTAACATGTGATCAAATGAACGGTTTTCTTGGACTAACACTATTATAGTTGTGATGGGGGAAGAAGTTATATATTTCTGAAGAAGCCATTGTGGCAATTTCTTCCATTGTTTTCGCTAGTAATTCTGAAGGTTTTTTGCTGCTTGTTTTGAAGCTAATGCGATTGATTTCTTGGAGGGTTTCGCTATGGTTCTTGCCTTTTAAAAGAAAATGGAATATGGAGAAGATGGAAAACAGCTTCTATGTGTATGTTTGTTTCTTGTAGAGAATGACAATTAACCTGATCCAATCCTCAAATAATTTGCAATGATTAGCAACCTTTCTTTTTAAACTTTAGATGCAAAAAATGTACAGAAAAAGTAAGAAAGTAAATAGTCCATTGACCCAAAAAAAAAAAAAACTATTGAAAACAAACCTCATTCGAGAATAAACCCCAGAAAAGAACAAAAGAAGAGAGTGATGATGTCTTAAGATTTTTATCTAAAATCAAAAGTTAGACAAAAAGATAAAAACACTAGTATTTTATTACGTAGAACATTTGACTAATTAATACTTTTTTCATTTTATTTTTTGATTGATATAATTCAAGGCTTGAGCTCGTATTTAACACCACAAAAAGTCCAATACTGGAAAGCCAGGAACTGAAGTTATTTAAAGGAGTCACTAATTTGTAGTGGTACACTAGATCGGCGTTGGCACGGGCCCAATAATTTAAACGCTAATATATAGGGGGATTTGCATCTATATCCAGTTTTTTGGTCACATTTTAACTTATACCCGCTTTGCAAAACAAATTGCAAGCGTACCCACTTTTCGGGTAATTTCAGACATACGGGCCTGAAGTAGCAAAAATTTATGTCTGAAGTTTGAACTTCAGAATGTTTTTGTTTTACCTGAAGTGTAGTCTTATCAAAGCAAAACTTCAAATAGTTTTGCCTGAAGTTTGGCCTGACTTGCAAAGGCAATCACACAAAGTTCATTTCTTAGTGCAATGGCAAACTTCAGTTCAATAAAACTACAGCATGTTTTGGCTGAAGTTTTTGATTTGTAATTGCTGAACTTCAGCATTCTAGGAGCTAAAGTTTTGTTTTGTAATTGCTGAATTTCAGCATTCTAGGAGCTGAAGTTTTGTTTTGTATTTGATGAACTTCAACATTCTAGGAGCTGAAGTTTTGTTTTGTATTTGATGAACTTCAACATTCTAGGAGCTGAAGTTTTTGTTTTATATTTGCTAAACTTCAGCAGTCTTAGAGCTGAAGTTGTGTTCTGCCTTTCTTTGAAGTTAGATGGCTTTAAAATATAACTTAAGCTAAATTGTGCTAAAATTTTAACTGATTTTTTTGATAAAGTTCTGAAGTTATTTTTTCTATCTTTTATTTTTCAGTTCTGCAGCCCATTTCTATTGTTTTTCCTGCAGATGATATCATAAAGCAAGGGGTAAGCTAATTCCAAGAGATCGCGAGAGCAACTTTTGTGTATAATAAACTTCACATGCATGTGCCATTCTTGTGGCAGGTAACTTGGAAGAGAGGACATGTAGTAGTCAGTTGTTGTTGTATGTTTAAGAAGGATAGATCAGGGAAAGACACAAATCACACCTACTTTAACCAGCTTGTGGAGTTTTATTTACTCGTCCTTCAACATAGAATATAGTAGTTGATAAGATTTAATAAAAACTTTACAGATCCAATCAATAATACTTATACAAAGTCTCATGTGTTTGAGAGAGAAAAGAAGAAGAGGAAAATAAGAGGAGGGAGAAAGGAGCGCATAGGTCAGGAGGAAGAAGATGAGGCGTCTGAAGTTGTCAAAATTAAGAATTTTAAAAATATAGGTATAGGTTAAATGGGGGCGACCAAATAGGGCGCCCCGTGCAATTATTACTTATATATATGTAAAAATAGTATGGGCTAGCCAATTTTCGAATTCGTAATTAGAAATAACCAACATTTGCAAAATTATTGAAAATAACCACTATATTAGCTGAAACACGGAAAGTTCCAGCATAATATACTAAATTTTGGAGCTCCTCCGTATAAACTTCTAGCATATTATGGTGGAACTGCGATACATTATGAAACTCCAGCACATTATGTTGGAATCTCATATGTAAAAAAATCGAACTCCTGTGTATTATGCTGGAATTTTTACGGATTACTTTTAAAACTGTGCCTATTTTTTAATTACCAGTTGTAAATCTAACTATTTCTGATTCCCCCCACCCCCATATACGTAAACCTATTAGGGCTTGTTTAAGTATTATCGTAATTGAATTTGAATGTAATTTAATTAATTATACGGTTTGACATGTTTATCTGCATATGTAATCATTTAGTCAATATGAATTAAGCATAATTAAAATGAAGTAATTACACTCTTCAATTCTCACAGAGGATAAATTGATGATAATTACGTGATGACATTCAAATTCTTGTTTTTTTCTTATTAAAACAAAATAAAAAAGGAAAACTCTTTTCCCCCTCTCATTTGTCTCTCAAAATGTATTTTATTGCTCCTAATTCCATTCGAGGTACTCCTTTCCTCTTTAATTCTTTTTTCTACTTATTTCATACTTTCTCTTACCATGACATTTTTTGGTGTTATCTATAGAGTATTCGTGTTGCTACTTCGGTTCCATGTCCTCCTTCTTCCCTTTTTTTATTTGCATATTTTTCTGCTTTTATTTCTCTTATTATATACGTAGATTGTAGTACTTTGCAACTTTTATACTTTATTCTTCTTTATTTTTCCTTATTTCATTTTTCAATAAATTTTATGCTTTATTAATATATTTAAAATGCTATTTTTATTTTTCTTATATCGTATACAATAACAACATATTCTGTGTAATCCCACAAGTAGGATCTGGCGAGAGTAATGTGTACACAAACCTTATTCGTATCTCGTTTTGTATCATATGAAACTCAAAATAACCAATTAATTAAGTATAGGACATACCAAGAAATTACTATTATTCGTTGCATAATACTGTAATAATACAAAAGAAGTTTTGGCTCTCCAGCAACGTTTATTGTAATGACCAAATAATGCTCGGGTTTTGTTAAGGTAAAATATTTTGGTATTCCTTCATCTTTTTATAATTTCTCAAGACAACAAAATTCGTATTTTAATTCGTTTATAAACGGTAAAAACGTATTCTAAAATTACAAATGCTATTTCCTTCTAATAGCCAAGAATGATAAAATCATTCGTAGAAGCTAACAATCTTCATGTATCAATTCTTGGAATTAATTAAAAGGTATCTCCGGTTTAAATCAAAAGAATACATAAATTCAAAAGGAAAAAGAAAAATAATGGTGGTCTACAAACATAAAAGGAAATTAGCTTACAGGCAACCATTGTTGAAAAGTAAAGAAGAGAAAAATGTAGCATTACAATGACATCATCAGTGTAGAAGCGCAAGTAAGGGGTTCTGGGGTTGGCGTGTCAAACCAAAAACATAATGGGCCCACCATAATCAATACATTGAGCAGGGTCTATTTCAACGTGGCACAAGAGCTGCAATTTTAGCAGAAAACGGTGGTGATCTTGACGTAGCTACCGACAATGTCCAAATAATGCAGCAGCGAGTATAACTCTTTCAGGCAAGCTAAATATGTGAAATGTCGAAAATGTCCCGACAGTAAGCAGGCATGTCGTCTAGGTGCCTGTTAACTCCCTCTTATTAGATAGTAGAAGATGCAAAAAAAAAAAAAAAAAAAAAAAAAAAAAAAAAAAAAAAAAAAAAAAAAAAAAAAAAAAAAAAAAAAATGTCAAAGAGATGATACATATACCGAAGGGCTCCAACAGAGCTCATGTAGTTTTTCGATTTAGAGGCCGTGTAACAAGTTTGTTTTTGTTGGAGGCCTAAGAGATCATATTGGATATAGCTTTAGGTGTTCTTATTAATTCATTATTATTTGTAGCTGCTCTTTAGGTGTATTAATTCATTATCTGTCAATGGTAATAATTCAGTTAATTTTGATCCATCACTACGTTTAATTAGAGGCGGAGTCACAATTTGAAACTTATGGGTTCGGGTTCTAAATTTTTTAAGTTATTGGGTTCTAAATTAATAATTTATACATGTTCAATGAATTTCTTAAAATAATTACATAATTTGGACCAAAGCTACTGGGTTCGGCCGAACCCGTAGGTTCTACTCTCTCTCCGCCCCTGCGTTTAATAATCATACGTACAAGGAATTGAATTTAGAATTTAGCACAAGATGATCCTTTAGGATAAAAGCATATGCTTTGCCGCGCGTATGGCATGTAACAAACTTATCTATTCCAATTGCAAGAAAAAAGGGATGGGTTTATTAGCTCCAATAAATGATGTTTACGTAAGAGTTTCTAGCTAGTCATTTTTTAATTTCGATTCACTCGTAATGCTTTCAAATTTCAATCATATGTTGATAAACGTATTACTAAATTTTTAAATGGATAATACTAGACCAGTTTGACGGTTACGTTTGAAGTGAATATACATATAACTTAATCATAATTAACTGATAAATATATGTATGTAAGATAATTATATTGTATTTATTAATTTAATGTAAACACCATGTGTCAGTGTTGATGTTCTAATTTTGGACTATCCTGTGCTTCGGTTGAACAAGCGTCAGAATATTTCTTATTTACATCGTTGGGTAGTCTGTACATTATTCCGTTTAACCCAACAAAGAAAAAGGAAGAAATATAACTGATTATCCAAAACTTTCGATTATTGTTGTTCAGATTTTCACGCTTTCTGATTCCCTTACGTTTTATAATTGTGAATTTCCTCTTGTTTCTATTTCGAATTCGACTTTAGAAAATCGAACAAATCAAAAATTATTTTTTAGTAATATAATATGGTATTTCTGTTGGGATTTTAAGCTTGTGTAGTTTAAAGAGGGTGAATAAGAAATGGAGGGAAAATGAAATATTTGAGTTTCCCTTGGGAAAGGGACATTGTCCCATATCGGAGGAAGAAAAGGCTTTTGATGGGTATATATATAATTGCTCTTCTTCTAGCTCTTAAAGAGTTAAGAAAAAGGCAAGCCTCGCGCCGTCATCGTCGCTTGGCTACGGCTACGGCTACGGCTACGGATTCTTTCCCGAATTATTTTAAATATATTTTTCCCGCAATATTTCAAACACCCATTTTCAACAGCCATGGCTGTTTCTAAAAGGTTGCAAACCTTTTCAGAAACATTGCCACCAACTCTATAAATAGAGTTTGAATCCCAGAATCTTTCCTTACAAAATTTTCTGAGCTTCTTCTTCTTCTTCTTCTGCATAATATTTTCCAGTGTGCTTTACGACCATTGAGTGGTTCGCAGTTCATCAGAGTTTTGGTACCAATACACTGGTGAGTTAAATCGTTCTATCCTGGGAGGATATATTCCAGCACCTCGGGTACTTGAGGGGAATAATTTCCTTAAGGACACACTGTGTATTCAGTGGGCTCGATTTATTCCTATACTGTTTTTTTATTTTCCAGAATCTATTTCGTTAAACAAGTGTTACTAACTTTCTATTTTGTTTTTTCAGAAAGTTTAATTGTTTATTACAGCAATACAATACAGAATAATAACAATTTCAACTTTCTTTACTAGGTTCACTTAACTAATTTGACACAAAGTGTTATAATTTCACCATTTGATACTCTTACATGAAGGCTAGTAGGTAGTCGCGAGTTTATCTTTTTCTTACATGTAGTATTAATAGTATTCTCGTACTTTCTTATACTTAAATTTATATTACTATCAGTTATTTTGTTGCTTTAGTTTTCTTGTTATTGTTGGTATTGCTTCGTGTTACTATTTTTTTTTCGTGAATTATCCATTATTGTATTTTTCAAAATAGCATCTCTATCTTCACAAGGTTGGTAAACCTACGTACATATTACCTTCCTCAAGTTAACTCCAGCTGTGCATGAGATTACATTGGGTTTGTTGTTGTTGTATGCTCTTACGTCCGGTGGTCGTAATTATTTATTTGGGAATCTAAACTGAAAGAAAATGAATTAAAGAATTCCCAATACCAAAGCTACACTCTTGTTATTGTGGCAATTGATTTTTTGGAAGGTCTAAATCATACATTGAAATACCAAAGCTACACTCTTGTGTATAGGCATGTGAAAGAAGATTTGAACATCAAATTTGAAGTCATGAGGTAAATGGTGAAGTTTTCAAGATCATTATAAATCTAGTTGAAAACTCTTACATACATGACTAGAGGCGTTAAATAGGCAGTTAAGATTAATTTAGACGGATCAAACGGGATTGGGTTAATAGACCGGCAATGACACACCAATCTAATTGAGTTTTTTGCTTGAAACAAGATGATTCGTTTAAAATTAGGCTAAAAGTTGAATTATAACATAACCCTTCCAACTTAAGCTATTTTTTCCATTTCTTCATTTTCAAAAAAATTAGCCTCAAATTCTAAAAGTTTATAAAGTAGTTATTTTTTCTACAAACATGTTGTATATACTAGTGCATATATACATATAGTTGTGTTCAATAGTACGTACTTATTTGTCGTGCTAGTGAATTTTTATCGAGCCAAAAATTTGTACAAGCACCTAGTACTAGTGCGAGCGATTATTACTCTGTTATGTAAGGCTTCATTTTTTATTTTGATACCTAAGTTATGACTTAATATCAATTTTGGTCCTCAAATTATTTGATAAAACACGCTGACCTCCAATAATTAAATCAAGTTTGCGGCTTCGATCTAATCGCAAATAAAGGTAACGGGAGTTAGAAGTTACTACTTTTACCTTTTGAACTATTTAAAGGTCAAAATAGTATTTAGTAAATACTTATTCACATCGGGTGATCAAACTAATTCAATTTATCATGGTTAATTGGTTTAATAAAGTAAAAATATATATTAATTAATCATAGTTAAGTGATTAAAGTAAATATGTAAATATATTTTTCATTTCTATTGGTTTTGTTATAAACACCGAATGCGGATAAAATTTTACCATGCTAGCATTATAATACACCCTTTCTCAACGGTTTCAAATTAATTCTCATCACTTAATTAATGA